CTGTAAGTGCGTCTTTAAGTATGGAACTGTTAATGATTTTTTTGAAAACGGTTATTTCAGTATCCCACCAGTTGTTACGTACATTCTATTCCTCTTTACTTCAACGGTAAATGCGGCAATCTTCTTCAGCTGCATTGTATTTTGTGGGGCACGGATTTGAAGCGAACGGCCAGAGCTACTTGATGCCAATTGACGCGGCTGAAAGAGTTGAATCCTTTAATGAATGCCTATGCACGGAAGAAGTTTTATCAATGATGCAAGAGAAGAATCCTGCAATGAGCGTCATTTTGTTAGATATTTGTCGAAGGTGGTGAGATGATGTCTGTGTGCTGGATTTCAAGTCAGCATGCTTACAATTTATAGTTCGGATAGCTTTGAAGTGCCCGTAAGGGACTTCGTAAGGTACAAGTCGCGCGTCAACCGAAATACCGTCATTGGTTACGCTACGTAAGCTTGGCGCCTGTACTTAAGCTCGACTTTGCAAGATCGCTTTAGGAGTTTTGGAGAAGGGGCCTACGAAGTCGTAGGCGAACTTAACGGCGTCTTCATGAAATATTTGAAGAAATACTTGCAGTTGCGAAAGCCGGTGGCAGAAATTCTCACTCTCGTTATGCGAGGTAAGCTTGATCATACTGTAGCCTGCAAACAAGTGCACAATTGTGCCATCGTAAATTTCCTTAGATTTGGAAAATGACATACAAGCAAAGACGGTTCAATTTCCCGAAGTGAGGACAAACATGAGCAAGCTGCGCAGCCTTGCCGATCCGTTGATTTTCGACAGCCACACTGCCACCTACGATCTTCGCACCTATCGATGGCAGCAATTGCACCGTAGGCATAGGCGCGGGCGAAATGCTTTCCAAATTTCTTTTTTCTTGCTTAACTTTTAGAGCTGCCAGAACCGATGAAAGTTACCTTTCCGGCATTTCACGTTTTCGCGTTGATTTGGTTCGACTTTCACGGGTACTTTAGCAATATGGTAATTGTGTACACTTCCGTCCTTTCGGTGCCAACTGAAAGTGGAGGAGACAGGGCGGAGACTGAGTACGTCGCCATGTTGATGCTGCCGGATGTAAGCGCTGCTGCTGATCGTTTTGGCTGGTCATGGTTTATGTAGTCATTGCTACGCGTTGCAGATTTTCGACAGCACTTCCTCCGTAGTCACTTTGGGTGAGAACAATCGGACAGCCGTAAAAACGTTGGTTAAAAACCTTCAGCGACTAAAGGTAGGCTCCGATAGTACTTGAATACTTTGACAGTATCCCTCAGATGTTGCTGCAACAGGGTACTATGGAACTGCAGCTGCAACTGCAGGAGTTGAAGGGCGGCAAAGTAAAATCCGTCGCTACTGTTGTTTTATCCGATGTTCTTATATCAAAATTGAACGACACTGCCCAAGATGAATGCCCTCTTTGAAGCAAAGGGATTTCACTTATCCTTGCCGCGTCAAAGACTCTTCAAGGCATTGTCCATTTGCTCAAGCTGAGAAAAAGTACAAACAAGGCGCAATAATGAGCACACATGCTCGGTCTATGCCAACAACTATTCGTTTCGTTGTTTGCTCATTTTGGTTCAAGTCAAAGGATTCGTTAGCTGCCGTTTGCTGATGGCACTTGCACATCATTATTCTGGATATCGTCTGGTCGCGTGATGGCAAACACTTGACGCATAGCTGCCTGTTTGACGCATTATTCTCCATTTCATTCTTTGTCGTTTGCATACCTCATCCGGAGGCGTTATGTCGTTTCCGCTCCGTTTGCCTGCCAATTCAAGTTCAAAGACTTTGTGCGGTTTGTAGCCGAGAATGGGCATGCCGACTTGGACGGGTCACTCGACATCTTTGTCTAAGCCTTACGGTATGGCATTATTGCGGGAAAACAGTTGTCATGCCAACTGAGCATGTTTTCAGGACCAAATATGCAAATGTGTCCATTGCTTGCTCGCCAGAGTGCCGAAATCGTATTGTAGATAAGCCGAGGCGTACGAAGCTGCCCTAAGAAGAGGAAGCGGGAAGCAGCAAAGTTTGAATCGCCTAAAAAGGCAGAGATGTATCGATCGAGCTGCTTGAGCGCAAACTGTTACAATGTTCTCCCAGGCTGAGAAAACGCTCTTCATTGTTTATTCAAACTTAAAATTTTTGTAAGGCAAGCAGAGTTACCATGTGCATTTGTTTGCATTTTTGATTCCTCGCAAGTCACTCTAACGCTTTCGCAACTCGCAGTTATGTAGCATTGAGTTTTCAGAAAGTCGACCTTATTTTTCCGTGTGTCCTTCAGCGGCGGGAAAGGGTGGTCGAGTCGCTATACAAGTAAGGAAGTCGAGATTCGTCTTTTCAATTATTATACACGTACTGCTTTATTATTTCAAGCATCCGCCGTGTGCTAAGACTATATGTTAATGATTAGAGAAGTTCGTTTTGCAAAATTTGTCTTTAAAGGCCAAGTCGCATAAGAACGACTTGTGGACCTCATTGACATTCCGCTGAGAGGGAATACAAGAGTTCTGCGAGCGTGTAGTCTCCAGGAAAATCTAGATGTTTAGGCTTTTTCATTAGATGCCCTGTGGGTGTACTGTATGTGGAAGTGAAATCAAGTTATGTTAAACCGAGTAACCAAATGCAGCCTAAACAAAAGTCGTTGTCGGTCTTGGGTTTACGCTTAGGCTGTTTACGGTTACTAGGGCCAACGGATCTTGGTTTTAGGCTTAAGCGTAGGCTCCCTACGGTTACTTCATCTAACGGAACATGATTTTAGTTTCATCTACAGTATTCCCGGGCGTGTAATGGAAACATCCACAAATCAGCTTTAAAGCGGTAAGCATACATTTTGTTTATGATGACGAAGTTAAACTTGCTTGTAAACGATTTTAAAGTACGCATAAGCAATAAGTAAGGTTCAGTCGGTTTGCTCTCTTGCAAACAAACAGTACGCAACGAACTTTTGAACAAATCCATATTCGTGTGTGTCTTTCAAGCTTAGCTTCGTCTATATTTGCATGCTTAGAGATTTTGTCATGTCCCCTTCTGTAGTGGTACTGAATTTCATGATTCCGTACGAGACCTTATCAGTCTATTTGTGTTTGAGCTCAGCGTCAAGAACATTTGTAATTTCTGAAGCTTAGGAGCAGACAAGCTTTGTCTAAGTGTTCAGCTTCAGGGATTTTCAAATCAGCTACATATTGTGGTGTTTCAAGTATCAACAGGATGCATTGGGCTTCACAGATAAGGTGTGGCAACAACTATTTGTTGTGAATGCAACTTGCGCTGCAGCATTTATAAGTGCCACAATTTGTTGTTTATTTCCCTGTAAACAATGAGAACAGCGCGTTTACATATATGTACTCGCCTTGAATAAACCATTTTGAACCTTGACATATCCTGTCGAATGATCGACCTTTCAAGGCAACGGGCGGGAACAGAAAGTCGCGGTGTTGGAAATGCATTTCTGTGTTACATGCTGAGCCAGTGAGAACGTCAACGTTCTTCTTTATCAACTGCCGCTGTAGAGATGCCTTATAAAGGTAGGATAAGTGCACTTGAAGTATGAAAGTAAGGTAGACTTGCAGACAACAGAGGCCGCATAGTGCACTCTGACCGGTAAAACCTTTCCCTTCTCTCTGAAACAACCGCGTTCAGGCTGAGAATGAAAATGAGCAGTTGGATTCTTTTCACCTTCCCATACTCGCCGACGACATTCCTTCATGGTGACATGCATTGAAAGTTCACCTTTGACGATTTGGCGAACGTAACGTTTGATTGGTCATTGTTAGAGCTTCTTGTCTTCTTTCCATTCGCGGAGGACAGAGCGCACCGGTTTAGCTACAAAAATAAGAACTTGAATATCTTTATCGCAATCGCAGCGGGTATTCAAACGGAGCTCAATGCTTCATACGAAATTGTTTGTCAGTACATTTGACAGCTTAAGGCTTACGGTAGTAGGAAAGGTGTTCCTTCCTTCCTTCATAATTAGCGTCCACGGAGATGTGCCCTTCTATTTGTGTTGCACTTTCAACGAAGCTTTGTTGCAACCCAAGTAAAAGGGCAAATTTTCATAAACTAATTATGAAGCTTCTTTTTCAAAGGTTCATATTCTTTCGCCTACAAAACGAAGCCGTACCGTGTGTAGCTTCTGGCGGCGAAGATAGCGTGAATGTGAGCTTCAAAGAGAGCCCAGCGTCTCTGTTGTTGCTCACGCGTTCAGCTCTTCTTGCCAGGCTAGTTGGATCCTCGGTGATTCCTTTGAGCTCTGCCCTTGATGACCGCTGCCGGGCATCGCTTCTCGTAGATTTTTGAGTGACTTAAAGTTTCTAAACATTTGCGATACTTTGGCGGCCAGCTGCCGACTACGAGTAGGAACTTTGCCGTTTTGGGCGTCCGCATTCCCAGTCGGCGGTACGTTCAGCATTCGTTCATCTTTCCACGCCATGGCATTGCTTTGCTCTGGCGTCGATACGTTGGAGCTGTTGGGAAACCTCTGCAGTGGAATACTCTTGACATATTTATCCTTTTCTTCCTAAAAAGGTTCTCCCTTTCCAAAACTTTTTTTAAACTACAAATGCCGCTGGATGAGGCTTTACTTTAACTAATGGAAGGAAGGTTAGTAGTTTATCCGAGCAGTCGCTTTCCAGCGTAGCCTTCAGCTACGAGAAGCGATCGGTTCGATGTTCTTACTGTAGCCAAAAGATAATTAAGAACAATAAATTTTTAAATTATTCAAAATCGGCAGAATTTTACGTAGGCGTCACATTATTACCTCGGCAAACAATATTTTGTCTTCGGAAGCCGCCTCGCGTAGTCTTTTCATTGAATTTTCATTTCCAAAAGTGTGTAGGTGAGCAGTTGCGTGGCGCCTATGAACGCTGGGTTTGATTGTACCTTCGGCTTCGGCAGCGGTGGCCATAAGTTGCTCCGACAATCTTTTCATGTCCATTGCGCGCAAAAGCGCGTCGCGACGTTTCATCGCTTTTTCGCGTCGCATTTGGTTGCGGTAAAATTCGGCAAAGTTGTTGACAATAATCGGAATGGGCAGAGCGATGACCAGCACTCCGCATATGCAACAAAGGGCGCCGATGATTTTGCCTGGAACCGACACCGGATACATGTCACCATAGCCGACCGTGGTCATTGTTATGCTGGCCCACCAGAAGCTGGCCGGAATGCTTGTAAAGTTTGTATTTATTTGGTCCTTTTCGGCAAAGTAGACCAAGCTGCTGAACATCATAACGCCCATCGACATGAACAGCATGAGCAGACCCAACTCACGGTAGCTGTTTTGCAAGGTGAATCCCAACGATTGAAGACCGGTCGAGTGGCGAGCCAATTTCAATATTCTTAGTACTCGCATAATCCGAAACACTTGCACTACCCGTCGGGCGTCGTGAATATGCTCAGTGCTCATCATGTGACTTTCATTGAACAGAAGCGAAACGTAAAAGGGCATAATGGCTAGTACGTCGATTACGTTCAATGGCCGTTTAACGAATTTCAGCTTATTTGGGGCTGCCCAAAATCGAGCCGTATATTCAAAGGTGAACCAAGCAATGCAAACCACCTCTACATAGTAAATGTAAGGATTGTCAATGCTTTCATTGGTAATCGGGTCATAGTGGTATATGCCGGGAATTGTGTTCAGCGTCAGTGCCAGTGCGGCTAGGCAGATAAAAGCCATCGATATAAATGCGATCACCTGAATGATATGCAAAATAATAAGCAAAATCCAGGAATCTACAAACCAGCTTCAATTATTATTATTATTATTATTATTATTATTATTATTATTATTATTATTATTATTATTATTATTATTAT